CATCTATGGCAGTCATTACATCAGTAAAATACCACGGTTCTTAATTTAACTTATTACGAACTTATTTTACTTGGTTTGGCGCCCAAGTGCGTCAAGATGTTTAAGGCTTCGATTTGACTTGGATGGCAACTTAAGTGTCTTACCATCAAGCCGACAAAGACGCTCAGACAATTAAAGTATTTTAAGACAAATTTTGAACTTAAGCATTGCAAGAAAAATGAATATTAAGATGCCAGCTCGAAAGCATGGTGATTGATGAACCGATTTACGTAGAATCCTCGATATACATCCAGAGAATCGTAGAATCGAAGGCCGCGTGGTACGAGCTGAGTACCGAATATTGGGAGTAAGTGAGCACCGCGAATGATACTGTCGATATGGATGATGGACAAATCGCGAGAGCCGTCTTCATTGAAAGACGGTGCCACCATCCACATTCCTGTGAGCTCGTCTCGTTCCTCGGCGATGCGATGGAACCATTGAACGAGGGCACATGGGTATGTGCGACTGTTAGTAAAAGTAAAAGAGAAAAACAGAATATTCGAATGACATCCATGCTCAACATTCCATCATGCCTATTGTCCGTGTTGACGAAGGCGCAGTCAAAGCGAGCTGGTCCCTTGCGCCACGAAGGCACAACGCGAATGTGCTCACGGCGCATACCAGTGATTCCACTCGGATCACTGGGTGCGATAAATGTTGCAGCGGCTGAATGAAATATCTTGATTGGTCCCGTGTAGGATGGACAGTCGCGAAGGGGGACATCGGCAGAAGAATGGTGGTTGTCTGCGTGTATTTGGTCGTACAGGAAGAGGCGAATGAGGGTCGGGAACGATGGGATGTCGAGTTCGTCTGCAAGATCAGCAACGGTACGGGCGCGTTTTCGTTCTGAACGGTGTGTTAAGAACGAAGGTCACAGTGAGTAGAGGGTTGGATATGCACGAAAGGTCCGTGCTAATTGCACATCAGCAATGACATCCACGTCATCTACAACACCCTGATCCTCAACATCGTCAAAGTCGTCACTCTCGATAGCAAAGGGGTTGCTTCCTGCATGTGCTGGGGTTTGGTTGACCTCTGGGTCTCCATCATTGTTGTCGATATATGAGGGATTCTCAACTAGAAATTCAGTGAGTAAAATTCAATTAAAATAAAACAGACCACATACCAAATGAATTGTAGTAGCTGAAGGCACAAGACCCTTTGAGCATGCCTGCGTGTTGTGAAATCAACTCTTGCTGCAGCGACTTTGTCCAGGCGCTGATTGGTAAGGAGCATCTGGCTGAGCGCATTGTACTTGCTTGAACGTCGCCATGGTTGCTTTACCGCCTTGATATGTTTTGATTCCGTGATTGATGAGCAGAGGGCTGTTCGGAGCACCGAACATTCGGATGAGAAGCTCATAGTGGATGAGAGAGTGTTGTCAGGGGTAGGGAAATGTCGAAGCGGACGCCAGTAGTCTGGAAAATAGTCCGGTAAGTATGAAAAACGCCCAAGGGCATCTTTCAGCGCTGCGAGAGTGTCGTCCGTCACTACGTTCGTGCGCACGATGTAGCAGAACTTTAGCAAGGCGCGAAATGCCTGAACCATATCATCTGGTACGTGGCCCTCATTGCTGGTAGATAGACCTAGATAACAGCTTGTGTAAATTTTGATAAACGTGAGATAGTGAATGAAAATGTACCTTCATCAAAGCTTGGAGTCGTCACCTGTCCATTGTGAGAATCCACAGGCCTTGTGGAAAGCGTCGTAGGCCAGGGAAGGGGCGCGCGGAAGCAATTCTAGTGTATTGTCAGTAATCACAACAGGCAGCGGCAGATTGAAAATACCTTCGGTCAATATCATCTAAAATCGCCTTGGCGCGTGTTTTGCCGTGCGTGAGTTCAGAGGTATTGACCCCACCCATTCAACAAGGTGGTCCTTGAAGGTTCCTTTGATGAGCTGGTGCAGTATGTCGGGGGCAAGGAGCTCGTGAATGTCAGGCACGAGGAAAGTCAGTTGGTGAAGGGCTATGAAGTGCAACCATTAGTTCAACAATGCACAAATGATATGGGGGGAAAACATACCACTAACTCGCCAATGATACCATACTCATCCCAAAGTATACCAAAATCTATAGAATCCACAAGCGCATCATATGTTCGCGTGACCGAGAAACACCTCCTTCATGCAAGAACTTGAGGGAAATGCAAAGGCATCTGTGAATACAAATGAGACTTTGCATAGTAAAACCAGAGAGAACTAAAAGGGGGGAGGGGGGGGGGAGGGGGGGGGGGGGAACACGGCAGATACATTGAGGACATCGCGTAAAACTTCGAGGAGGATCCCTCTGGGGGTCATGAATGCGGATACGAACAGGCGGTGTCCTGAGGATTGCTGGAGGATCATGAATGCGGATACGAACAGGCGGTGTCCTGAGGATTGCTGGAGGATCATGAATGCGGATACGAACAGGCGGTGTCCCTGATGATCCCTGGGGGTCATGAATGCGGATACGAACAGGGCGGTGTCCTGAGGATTGCTGGGGGGGTCATGAATGCGGATACGAACAGGCGATGTCCTGAGATGAATGCGGATACGAACAGGCGGTGTCCTGAGGATCTCTGGTAGCCACTTACCTTCCACACCAATCTTTGACCATGCACGCCAATACTACCTGCTCTTCGTAGTCTGCAATGTAGGGTCCAAGGCCATATATAATGCGCCAGTAGTGTCCGTCGCCACAACCGTGTGACCTCTGGAGTTGTCATTCCAGGTTTGAGATTGGCGAAGATCCTGGACAACGAGGAGTGAAACAACTGCTTCTTGAATTTGCGGTATCCAAGTTCATCTGTATTTCTTTTTTTTCCGCTGCATACAATGGTGTAAGCTTCAAAGTAGATTAGGAGAGAATTAGGTACTACTCTTAGGGATCGCCAAAATCCAACCAGAGCCAATGCGTTGCGATGCGCCCGCCGGACGTTATTGTGAACGTTCCCAATCGAGAGATATAGAGGGTAGTAGTCGTTTTGACCAGTAGCGACAGACACCGTCGTCTTGTCACTGCCTACAATGATGGGAATGAAAGCCGCACCATGCGTTTATGGGTCCTGTGCGATTTGGTCCTGTACCTGACATCAATATGAGAATATACTAACAGACACAAAATACATACTGCTTGCTGCCAGGCCCAGTCTCCTGACATGAAATCCTTATAGCGGCGTTGCTCATCCTTCTCCTGAAATTCACGGTAGGGCATATAATCAATTCCACCTTTGAAATCTGGATTTGCGAGCATGTTCTTGATGACAGTATGAGGGTCCCGGAAACCAAACCTCGTGCGACTGTTCCATCCAAAGTGGACACTCTCCAGCAGGTTTATCGCCATTGTACTTCAGGGAGAAGCTTTCCCATGCGACATCGCCTAGCGGTGTTGCGTCGATAGTATCGTACAGGTCCTTGTAGTCGGCAAATGGTGGATTGTCGCGATGAACAGTGAGAGTGATTCCCCACAAGTAGAGAATCTTGTTTATATCACCAGCGGACATCTGGTTTTCAGTGTACATGAAATCTGCGCACTCAAATTCCAGTCGGTTGCGATATGGAGTCCAGTCGTCAGGACTTTTTGCTGTGTATGGTGGAGGAGGAGTGCCAGGGTCAACAAAGTTGCCATTCTCGTCACAAATACGACCTGTGGGTATAGGTTTTAATCAGAGACAAGCTGGCACCGCAGCACAACTATTGACTTACCAGTCAGCATCTCGTGATAATCACGAATAAGTCCATGCTTCGACTCCCAGAGCTCATTGTTGGTGCGTCTGGGAGCTTCTTCATCTTCAATTTCTTCAACAGAGGCGTGTTGTGTGCATTGCGATTAGGATGGGTAAACGAGTGGCTATGGGCCGAGCTTTGATGAAGTTTCAGCCCAGAGGAATTTTTCAACCAGCGTTTGCAGCCTGGGTAGGGATACTGGATGCGGCGGGCGCTAAACGCTCATCGTTTGAGCTGCGCATGAGGGATCTCGTCTGGCATGATGGATGGGAGGCTAACTGAAAAGTGCAAACCATTAGCAAACACACTAGGGAGAATGTAATGTAATACATACAAAACAGGGTGCGCGACACGTAACTTAGAGTTTCAAAGTCCATAGTGACCGCTCAACCTTACACCAAATTTTCTCCTCCACAAGCCCGACCGTTCAAACAATGGTGCGCCCAAACACTCGTCCTAAAAATGTGAACCAGCATCCTGGTGAGATCCTCCTCCAAAACAAGAGGAAAAGGCGCACTGCTCGTCAAATCCAGGAAGACAACGACCAAGCCGAGCATGAGCGGCAGGAGAAAGAAGCCGCTGATCAACGCACCACCGAGAAGATTGCGTCTATTGAAGACAAGAAGGCATTGAAGGACTTGAAGATCCTTTTGCATGCGCCAAAGCCTCGGCCTCGGGCGTGTCCTGTGTCGAAGTCGAAGGTGAGCCAGCCGAACATTGAGGATGATGAGGAGATTGTAGAAGCAGCTGAGATGGGGGATGTCGAAATGGAGGACGTTGCTGCAGGCGATAATGATGGAGATAAGGACTTTCAACCAAGGTAAGGTTCCAGGAGACTCACCATACACAGAGACTGACTATGTTGTATCCAGTGAGGAGGAGAATGAAGAGGTGCAGCCGAGGAATAAGCGTGTCCAGAAGACAGCATATCGTGAGGCTGTCCATGCTGAGCGAAGTGTTAATAATACAGGCATCAACATGACTCACAATCAGAATTCGAAGGTCGATATATCAGATCAGGCTGATCCAACGGCACGTGGTGACCAGAAAGGCAAGAAAGGAGTGTAAGTCGATTATTGTTTCCATCTGCCATGTTGTTACTCACCGAAACGACTCTTTTTCATCTCGATCACCTCAATCGATTCAGTGCGGATGTCTGCGCCGCCAAGGACGACTATGCGGGGATGGGGAAAACAAAGGACTGGGCTGAGAAACTTGCAACAAGCAAGTTGCTCCGCCCTCAACTTGAAAGCCTTCGCACTGAATCACACAGACGGGTGTCTTCAATCACCACCTCAACTGCTGTTTCAAGGATCTCGAAAGTCACTAGCGCCAGGGCTAATCCCACTGGCAGCCCGCACCCCACAAACAATGTTCAAGGCAATCTCGAAGAACCTACCACAGCGTTTCTGGACGAGGACGATTCACTTGAGCGTGAGGCTGCTTTCAAGGCTACCAAAAAGCCTGGTGCCAGGCATACGACTTCTGCGGTATTTCTTTCATTTTTCATGCATTTGCATCACACTCACTCCCCACTCAGGATATATTGGAAGTCAGTGATAACAGTTTATCACCGCCTCCATTGCGACCAAAGAAACGCTCACCAATAATGGCAAGGACCAAGTCCTTATCCTCCCCCCCTCCTCGTGCCCCTCCTTCTACGCAACCATCCAGAGCCACCGCCAGGTTCATCCCGACTGAGCCCATTACTGACTTGTCAACGGAAATTGACTTTGGCGAGAGTGAGGACACATCACCGCCCCCTGCTCCTGTATCAGCAAAAGGCACCAAACGCCTAACAACTTCAGTAAGCCGGTACTTATTTTGTGATACCCTTCTCATTTTCTCTCCGCTAAACATAGACCGGCGTCAGCATCAATAGCCAGCCCCCCCTTCGAAATGAGCAAAGACAGAGCCGCAGAGCAAGAGTGTCATGTCACGCCGCGATGGCAGTGGCGCCAATCACCAGTACCAGAACGATGACCTTCCTGAAGGACGCCAGGATGGTAATACCTGGCGCTGGGTGTTCATACCAACTGTCGCACACTGGGCTGGTGGAGAAGTTGAGCCTTGGGGTCCTGAAGACGAAGATTTAAGGGACACCATGCAGGAGATCTGGAACTACATATACCGGGGTAAGATTCAGCATGAGATCTCTAGATCTGGTGCCGTTCTAAAAGTGGTAAGTCTAGTTGTTTTTCAGTCATTCAGATGTTAACCAACATTTAGGCCAAACAACGCCTTATGGAATGGCGTGGAGGGTTCGGTATCGCAGCATGCTCCATCCTCACTGCATTTTTTGCGCAGGACGCTGATTTTTTGGATCCTGCGGCTCGCGAGGACTTTTCAAGGGCCATGCTGAAGCATAACCGGTTCATTTTCAGGGATAATTTAGGACTCGTTCCCAAGGTAAGTGGCTATAATAATTACTGTGAAACCATCTAATTATTTGTTCAAAGGACTGGACGGGTATGTGGAGATCCCCCTTCGTACTTCAGACATTCGCATCACACCTCAATTTCACCTTCGGCCGTGTTGAAGTCCCCAACCTTGACACCGAGAGCATTAGTGCGTGGGCTGCATTTGCCCTCGCCGCTACTGCTGTAAGTCATTCGATTTCTACCGTTCATTGTCTAAAAATAATATTTTCAGGTTTATCGTACTCTTCAGCTCATCATTGATGGGAACCTCACCTTCGAAGTCATTCAAGAATCCCGCGGCAAACGCAAAGGTGCGAAGACCGACGGCGGCGATATCTGGACCCCCATCATCACGAAGGGCGAGCAGTTTGCTTTCAGCAAACCTATCTGGGGGCACATGACCGTCAAACTCATGGGCCCCATTGTGGCGCTTTCCGACGATGCCTTCGCGAGCATTGTTGGGGAGGCACAACAGTATGCCAAGCACACGAAAAGCATCGGGAACTCGAGGACTACCACCAGTGAAGCGCCTGACGAGGATGATGTATTTGCTGACCTCTTTGCATTCCGTTGAAGCCGCTCAGCACTGTTTTTTTTTGTCGCTCATTATATCCACGTCCCATGCTCCCCGCCGTCGCCTATTTTATTTTTATTATCTGTCTCTGATCGCATCTTGTTGGCCTTGCATACTTAGAGCTTATTTTGTCTTACTGTATAAATTTAAGTAAATTCAAGTTCTATTAAGTCTTTTGTTGGTGTAAGACGAGAGGCTTATGTTAAGATTAAGGTCTTTGAGAAAGACCGACTTATATTGACTTGGCCGCAAATTTCAGCTCATTAAGTAAATTTAAGAACCGTGGTATTTTACTGATGTATAGTGAACCAAGAAGCTGATCAAGAGTCACACTCACCCCTACAGGGCGCCGCAGTTGATCAGTGGGGAATAGCAGGCATAGGTACAGAAGACTCACTGCGTCTGTCAACAAGATCGTCGGAACATTGACTGTATGCCGCAGATCAGAAAAAGTAAAGATGGTGAATATGAGAAGACATACTCAGTATGTTCAAGCTGATTGTAATATATGGTTTATTGGTACAATGACAGTGCCAAGCCTTTTGAACGTACACAGCAAACAATATTCCAAGATAGCGCACCTAAGATGTTCTCAAGAGTAAGCAAGGGTTGCCAACCACAGCTATGATGCAAGCCACATACACTAAGATACAGGATGGACATCAGGGACCAATGTTGCCTCTGTCGCAAATCAATGTTGTTCTTCTAAGTCCTGACGTGGCTGCTCACTCAAACTAGTTCGATCTATAAAACTTTTCTTAGCGAGATGGTTGTTCCGGTCATAGCATCAATGTACCTCTTGTCCAAATGTAAGTGCTGGGGATATTTATAGGTTATCAGTACTTCTTCAATACTATCATGCTCACCCCAATCATACGTCACTCCAGCAGAGGCAGCAACTGCGAAATCACAGTCAAGCTTAGATCAGGATATCAGCGTCAACATCAAACTGCCACAAACCTACAAAATAGCTGGAAATGCACCACAAAGTGATCCACAACCACCAACTAGGGTCGTCTGAGACTACGGTCATACTGTTAGAGGATGGATGTGGGGGAGTGGCGAACTGGCGCTGATATTTGTGCTAGATATACCACCATCCAGTGCTCAGATAACCAGAAAGAAATTTGAACACCGCAAAGAGAAGAACTTTCAGAACTATTTGATTTCCGGGTCTGATACCATTGTCGAGAGGCCCCTACTACGCGTGAGTCTATCAATCCAATACTGACATTTTGATCATGATGTGATCATCAAAAAGGACAATCACCTCCACTCTACCTGCCTTACCGGCACAGGCCCAGAGAGCATGACGGATTTTCCCAGGTACTGTCAAAACCTGAAACAGGGAAGAGCCACGCAAAACAAACAGAAAACTCACGTCCTACTCGGTTGTGTGCACATATCTCAAATGTTTGACCTCGATTCTCCCTGCTCATCATTGGACAGTTTGCCGCTTCATGCGCACCTTCTCGCACTCTGCCTCGGATATTGAGTTATTGTATCATGAGGATGCTAGAAATGGTGAACGTTGAATCATTGATTTGCATTGTGGAGTTGATTGCAGTGGCAACAGTTTGCACAGCCAGATACATCCTAGTTAAGATCCTGTGATTGCCGATATATTGATATCCGGTGAAGGTATAACACCATCCCTAGATCAATACAACACTGAGAGAGGATATAATAGAAGAGTTGGACGCACCGTTATGACCCAAAATGTAGCATAGCATAGCGAAGCATCAAAGGTAGATGATGAGCATATTCAAGCACCTGCTCCTGGCAGTATTATCCATAACCATAGCTAACTAGAGACATATGGTTATACTTCCTTCTCACAGATCCCTGAGGATATCCTTCATTATTCATTATACATAACCTTACTCTCACTGCCCCATAGAATTACTAGTGCCATGGCTCGGCTATGGCTGGCTCCGGCTCGGTATTTACCGGTTTGTGAGAATTTCGGCGATACCCGTTAGCCAAACCACTGGTCACTGGCTTGATCTGATTCATAAGCCATGTGAACCGGCTACAACTTTCGTCAGCCAAAAATATATGAACCGCAGCTTGAACTGCTTTAAGCCAGCTCAAGTCACGCGGCAGTTGCGTGGAAGGACTGCTTTTTTGGTTGCCTCCAGACTCCAGTGTTGTTGGTCGGATTCCCTTGATTTCTCTACTCGTGGGCTATTGTATACACTATGGATAAGGTTCCCGTTGTGGGTATCACAACCTGGCAGGCACATATAAGAAAAGTGCTCAGCCAGTATAAGTGAGTCTCAGCTCTGCCTAGCTGCTATACTCGCAGAATGCAAGAACGTTCGACCCTAAAGGGGAAGCAAGGAAAGCAAGGATCCACGGAATGATGCTGAACAACCCTGGTGAATGGCGGTGAAAGCGCGAGAAAGCGCGCGCGGGAAAGCGAAGTGCGAAGGTGCGCGGAGCGTGGGAAGGTAGTGCAAGCAGTGCACAGGTGTAAAAGATATATACTGAGACTGATAAGAGGGAAAGCGCGGATCTAGACGGATACTGATAGTGCCACTAGCTATGGACTGATGCTAGGGCCTCAAAACAATGATGGACACGTGCATTGCATGGAGCTAACTGGTGATAGATACTGAGTGGTAGGAAGGTGGTGGTATTAAGCTAAGGTGGAATCGTTGGGGTGTAAAACGAACATGAGTGTATGTAAGTTCTACCTAAGCGCTCTCCCAGGGCTCGGAGCCGAATAGGGAGCGCTCTAAGTATGTAAATGAGGTAAGGTGATGTAAAGTAAGGGTGCATAACGAAATGGGAAGTGTAATATGCTAAATATGGTCAGATAACGAAAAGGGACATACCGAGGGACTGGTTGGACGATGGATGGATGCTCCTGGATGCTGTGCGACATAGTGCGCTTAAGCGCGAGAAAGCGCGCAAGGCGCGCACGCGGGAATACTGCGCGTTGTGCGGGAAAGTGTCGTGCCTATGGCGCGTTCCGCAGGGAAAGTGGTGCGCTCTATAGGGAAGTCATAGTGGATGATGGTGCGAGTTGTGCCATGAAGGCCAGTTGTCAGAATTCGTAAAATGAGCCCATATGTGCCTGCAGAAACGCGAGTCTCTACATCTCCCAGGGACTTTGAATACTGAGTGTCCCCACTCAGAGCGCGTCTGGTGAGGATCTCGAGCAAAGTTGGTGATATGGGTACGTGATGATCGTCGAGTATGATGTGCGTGGATGACAGTGCAACTAAATGCGAAGAGGCGTGGCTAATGCATGACACGCGCGAGCGTGGGAACGTGTTGCTGAAGCGCGAGAATGCGTCGCATATGGAGGTGTGCACGAAATGACTCTGATGCGGGAATCATGATAAGAACTCAGAACTATGATAATGGTGGGCATGCGAGGTGTGCTCGGCTATTGAGGCAACTGATAATGCGAGGATGGTGTGGATGCGTCGCATGAGGCGCGGGAATGCAGCGCGTGAAATGTGCGAAGTGCGAATCTGCGAGGGAGTATGAGGGGATGAATGCGCGAAGTGCAAATGTGCGAGGAAACACAAGGAGGTGAATGCGCGATGATGTCCATGTCCAATATGTCTGCGGGGGTATAAGGCGATGCTAGGTGGTCCGGAAGCGATCCAAACCATGTCCAAACCAAGTCCCACTAGGCGCGCTAAGTAATAGGTGCTATGGGATTGAGTGGCATGAGTAAAACTATATTCAAAACGCGAAAAAGAGACAGCAAACAGTGCGGATGTCCAAGTCCGACTTGGCTTCTTCGTTCTTCTGTCGACTTCTATTCCTTCCTATGAGCGTGGAAGTGTGGGAAATGTGCGCGCATATGAGGCGCATTCTAAGGTAAAAGGTGCATGGTGCCGCTTCATGCGTTCGAAGAGAAAATGATATCCTACTGGGTTAGGTGGGCACAATCTATGGTCTTTTGTTTTTCTTCTTTTCTTCTAGGCGGTTTTCTATAGGCGTATATATCAGCGCGTTATTAGTCCTTTGGACGACATTATAATGAGGGAAAATGAAAATGAAAAGCGCTGGACGAAACCCAGGGTAAAACGAACTATATCCTATGAAAATGATGGTATATTTGGCGGTATATGGTATTTGGGAATCAATGGAGCGGGGAAAGCGGGTGGTGCGGATGATGATGGCGAGGGTTGAATGATGGAGTGGATGGGTCGGAAGCTGGCGCGTTTGGATCTTCTTCGTCGAGCTCTTCTACTTCTTCTCCTACCAGTGCGTTCCTGGTCTTCTTCATCTATCTGAAGGTGCGCGATGCTGCGGGTCGAAAAGCGCGTGAGGCGATGGTGAAAGGCGACTAAGGCGACTGAGGGCAGTGGTATCTTCATCTTCTAACTCTGCGACATCTTCTCCTACCGGGTATATACCGAATCTTCTTCAAATGCGGCTTGAGGGCGGACTAGTAACCGGTGGAATGAATTCTTGCACCTTGCGGTACAAGTTGAAGGCGCGCCCTAATGGGGCGATATAAGGCGCGTGGGGGTGCTCTATGGTCGGATAATGTGCGCATAAGCTGCGCATGGACGGCAAATTAAAACGAGACTGGTTCTGGATGAGAGAAATGCGGTTCAAAACTGATGAAATGGTAAAAATGCGATAGCAGGAAAGCTCTTCTGCAATGGCGGGCGCATATAGCGCGGGAGTATAAGCGCATGACACGCGAATGCGGTGCATGAAGGACGAATTAACAATAAAATGATGCGGAGATCCAGGCGAAATAATGGCGACTGGCATATGGCTCCTTGAGAGCTTTAAACACGAAATGGACGAGAAATGCGATATAGAACGAGGATGAATATACAATGCCTCTAGGTGCATGACCTGCGCGACCTCAGGTGTATGGCGGCGCGCTGGAGGCGCATCAGAGTCATGCAAGACATGATCTAATTGGCGGATGGGCGATGTGATGCACGGATGTTTCACCAGCAAACGGTAATCACTGTAAGCGGAAAGCGCGGAATGCGCAGAATGATCAGTGACGGATGGGGTTACCAGAGATATACTCTGGTCGGAAGGTGGTGTGTTTTGAGCCTCTGGTACTGCAGAAGACTCTGCAACAGGCGCGTTAAGATGCGATGGATGTTTAGAGTCATCCCTGACTACGGATAGATGTTTAAAGTCATCACTGACTGGCAGCGGTATGGTGCACGGATATTGCACCTGCGGATGGTCACTGAGTGCGGAAAGCGCGATGAGCACGGATGTGTCAACGACAGACGGAGTTTCCGGGGACATAACCTGGTCGGATAGCGGCGCATTATTAGCCTCTGGTGCTTCAGAAGGCTCCGGAATAGGCGCGCTAATGTGCGGATGTTTCAGGGGACATAACCTGGTCGGAGGATAGCGGCGCTTATTAGCCTCTGGTACTGCAGAGGCTCCGGAATTGGCGCGTTTAGGTGCATGGATGTTTAGAGTCATCGTGAATGGTGGGGTATAATCCCTCCAGAGGCGCTTCTGGGAGATTTGGACGGTGATTGATGGCTCGCATACTTCGAGCTGGGGCGGAATATCTTCAGCTAGGGATTACTTCTGGTGCCAGATGCGCTCTTGAGGTGCGCTTATGATGTGCCGCTTCGGTTGGACTGATGGTGGGGCGGTGGGTGATGGTTATATTCAAGGGCGCTTCTTGGACTGTGGGTGAGGGTGGTGTCGCATACTTCAGGTATTGGTGCGATGGCTTCTACTTCTGGTTGCTCTTGAGCGCATTCTGGTTGCGGAGGTGCGCTTGCAAGGGGCGCTTCGATGGTGGCTGGTTTTTCAAAGATAGGGCGCGTATAGTGGTCAACACCACATTCTAGATAGAAATACAAGACATGATCAGCGAATTCTACATAGTTGTCACCTTCGTAGTATGAGAGAAGCTGCCTTTGTTTAGGCGCTGTATACTTCAGTGCATACTTGATGATCTCCTTGTCCGATAAACCAAGCGGTTGCGCAAGTTGTTCTACTGACTCCAGGAAGTTGACGAGTTGAGTATAATTGCCTGCAAAGCGCGGCGCTGAGTCGGCTATTCGAAGGGGCATTCCGGATGAATCTACTGGGTCGTACATGGCGCGGGAATTTGCGGTTTAAGTGTGAAAAGATGCAAGAAGGTGCGAAAAAGCGTGGATTTGCGAAAAAGGTTGAAATTGTGGTTGGCCTAAAGGTTAAAAAGCGCGTGGATATGCTGACTGTTCCCCTCGCGGTGGGCTCCAGTTGTGGGCGAGGAATGATAGCTGCGTGCTAGGGGGAAGAGTGGGAAGTGGGCTCTCAAGTGCTCCTCTGGATACGAGTGGAAAATCGTCCCAAGGGGATTGCTACTGAGAAAGATTCCTCTAGTGAATGGTGAGGGGGATCTATAACCAGCGATTCGGTCTCGAAGTCTGAATGGGACACTGAGGCAAATAATGCACCCAAAAGCGAAGTGCGCTAGCTAAAGGCGCCTAAACGCGCTAATAAGGCGGAAAGTGCGGAAAAGCGCGCTTCAAATGTCAAAGCGCACTTCGTGCGATCACAATGGAGTGCTTCGAGTAGAGATGACAATCAAAATGGGGAATCAGGACTTTGATAGATGTAGAAATAGACACTTAAAGGTGTCAAAGCGCCAATAGGAAGGAAAACCGGTGTATTCAGATAGAAACTCGAGCTATACACTTCGATGGTAGTGGAGCGGAAGTAAGTGACCGGAAAACAAACATGGTGACGTGTAGGTATGCTAAGCGAGTTCCCACGGCTCGGAGCCGAATAGGAAGTACTAAGGTAAATGGTGAGGTAAGTCAGGGTCCATAACGAGATATGATGATAAGTACTAGTGCCTGCGTGACGGAGTATGAGTTCTGAAGAAGGGAAAACGCACCAATGGACCTTGGAGGACTGGGACGGGACATGCGGAGGACAGGCGACGGATCCTAGGGAAATGCGATGAAGTGTGCCGTAACGCACTTGAACGCACTTGAACGCACTGGTACGCGCCAAAGTGCGCGTTGCGCGGAAGTCGTATTAGAAGCGCATTGTAAGGATATCAAGTGCGTCGTGAAAAGCCGTGAATTTGGCCCATATGAGCCTGGAGAAATGTGAATCTCTACACCGTTCGAGTTGACGGAAGATTCAGGCTAGGAAACATTTTGGGATCCGGCACATATGGTATGTTATTTACATATCACGATTACTGACTATATGTTTAATTCAACATTTGGACCCCATTAGCTGTCGTGTATCGCGCACGGAACATCATAAAGAATGACGCAGTTGCCAGTCAAACTTGAACCCATCACCCATTCATCATCTGTCCAGCACGAATACAATATTTTGAAACACCTTGAAGGTGGTGTTGGTATTCCTCATGCCCTCTGGTTCGGTAGGGAGTCGACATATCATGCTCTCGTTCTCGATCTCCTTGGGCCATCCTCGCACAGTCTCTTCCTTTCTCACAGCCGAAAATTCAGCCTTGAGAATGTCATAAATCTAGGGGATCAGCTGGTCCGTCAGTGTGTGCTACTGTGTGGGTTGCATGTACTGACCCCTTTCCCCAGCTTTCATGTCTCGAATACGTTCACTCGCACAATTATATTCACGGTGACATTAAACCACAAAACGTTGTTCTGGGTCTTGGCGATTTGAGGCACACCGCCTTCATCATTAATTTTGGTATCGCGAAGGAATTCTGGAATATGACAACCAGTGTCCATATACCGTTTCGCCAAGGTCAACGTCTCACTGGCACTCCTGCGTTTGCATCAATCAACAATCACCTGGGAGTTGAACCAGGTCGTCGTGACGACCTCGAGTCACTTACGTACATGTTGATATACTTCTTGCAGGGCTCCCTTCCTTGGTTAATCAGTGACGAAGAAAAACTTTCCAGTTCTTCCATACTCGAGTGCAAAGTAAACACCACTATCAAAGATCTATGCCGTGGAATCCCTGTCGAATTTGCAACAATGCTCATTTACACGCGCTCTCTCGCATTCTCAGAGGAACCCAACTACAATCACCTTCGTTCATTACTTCACACACTTCGTTCTACACTACCGGCACCAGCTGCATGCTTGCTGGATATAAACCAGCCTGGTGTACCTATCACACATTCCCCCTCCCCTCCATTCTTCGATAAACCCTGTGTAATTGAGGCAGTGTCTCCATGCCCGCCGCTTCGCAGATCGACTCGTATGTGAGTAGCTCATTTATCTTAGTACTTATGAACTAATGCAATTTCAAGTTTGCGTCCACGAAATGACTCCCTGTTGCATCATGTACCCACTTCAACTCCACGCCGGAAACAAGCTAGATCGTGATACTGTCGGATACCTGTAGCCTGTAGGGAGTAGTTTGTACATGTACATGTACTTTGTGATATAGTAGCATTCACAGCACCTACTGTATCAATATTAATTTCTTACAATGAGCTTTGCGTCACACATACGACGTGGCGGATGCAATAGTCACCTGAACCGGATATTTATATCCAAGTTTCATCCATTCCCACGCAGCGCCTCTTATCTTTCAACATCCCCTGCAGGCTGCAGGCTACAGCCTTAAAATGACCTTCGCAGCTCGTGAGGGACTCATCGTGACTTCCAGAACCTTCATAATCGGTAATTCAGCCATACAACATAACGACAACGACTCAGGAAGTGCTTATCGATGGAGATCCAGCTTTGATTCCATCGATCATCCAAGTCGATTTAACTACACCTGAGGGTGAAGATGTGCTTGACTTCAAGCCTTTGGGCCCTCTGGAATCTGGAGTTTCAATTTGGAGTTAATTCTCTCTAGGTATGCACAATTTCGCGAACATTTTCACCCCCCACTAACTGCTGAATAGATTTGACCTGCCTGAAGCATGCATGAGTTGCGGAGTCTGCCTCATGACAATCGCCCTTTGGGCTTTTCCATCAGGGTCTCAGGATCACTGCACATCGACATGTTCTGGGGTTTCCCCAGATACTATTATATATGTAGGTCAGTAATTCTGCTGTTGGATCATCTCCACTACCACCGCCATTAACATGCCCCCTCGAAAGAAGAATGCCCGGGCTGCTGCCAGAGCTGCTGCCATTGTTCCCACTGTTGTTCCCATTCCTCCTGCCCCTGCCGCTGCTGCAACCATCTCTCCCGCTCCTGTCACTCCCACTGCCGCTCCTGTCACTCCCACTGCCGCTCCTGGTCCAACCGCTGCTGCAGCAAATGCGAATATTCTTCGTAACCCTCAAAGGCATCGTCAGCTTCCTGCTCGGTTTCGAGACAACGATGCAGATGAAGGGGAATCCTTCCACCTTGACAACGTCTCCGTGGATGAGGGGGACGAAATTGTCAATTCGCCTGCACCTGCAGTTAGGCCTGCTGCAGGCCATAGTCCATTGCAGACTGCATGCCATAGTCCAATGCAGACTGCGATGAGTACCGCTATAACTGACCCTCTGGCCACTGGTGGCCGAGCAAAAGCGCCGAAAACCTCTGCCAATATACATTTTTTCTACAGACAGGACCCTACCACACTTTCGAATATCTGCAAAGCCTGCGAGTGAGTATCGTGTTTGGTGTCATCATTCTCTCTGACATCCTTCACCAGAGCAATCCATAATCTCGACAATACTCATCACATAATGTCATACCTTCCTAGCACAGGTACATCAGCTCGTCGTGCACACGCCTTCGTCAACCATACCGACATTCACCTGGAGGAGGCAGAGTGTCAGCACTGGCATGTCCTCCATAAGTCGTCACGTTTGAAGACATTTTTGGATGAAGGCTGGATGGTCGCAACCATGCGTCAAAGGCTGAAGGATCCAGCTTACACGTTAGACTCACTCGGTACTCCCCCTAGTCCTGACTCACTCCCCGGAACTAGCCTGTCAGCTCCAGACGATGTATTGCCTGCGTTTAATCTGGACGAGATGCACAAACAGATCGTGAAATTCATTGTCGCCAACGATCAGGTGAGTCAATGTTCACTTTCTACACGCTATGTTTAGTAACTGTCTTCAGGCGATAAATATTGTTGAATGTCCAGAATTCCGTCGTTTGATCCGTCTTCTGCAACCATCAGTGAAAGAGACCGATATATATCACCGGACCAAAATTCGTGAGCTGGTCATTGACGCTTTCCATGAATACTTCACACTTTGAAGAAGGACCTCGCGGTAAGCCTACAGTTGTCAAGAGCCTTGCAAAATATCTTATATCTTTTAGGCCGCTCAGGGAAAGGTTTCATTCACATCTGACCTCTGGTCAGATTCTAACCTTTGCCCGTTCATGGCCGTTACGGCCCACTGGATTGCTAAGGCTGAGCAGAGTTCGGTCCTTGTTTTGAGGGCTGCATTAATAGGCTTTCATCATGTTCCAGGCAGTCACACAGGTGATTTGCTAGCGACAGTCATTTTGCACCTTCTTGATCGTGCCACTGTGACCGAAAAGGTCAGTGTTTAATTTTACCATTTTACACGCTCTGACTCTGTTTAGAGTGGTCATTTTACCTTGGACAACGCTGCCAACAATCAGGTTTGCATGCAAGAGCTTTCGCAAAAGCTGGAGTGTCGCGGAATTGATTTCGACCCTATCGACCGCAGAATCCCTTGCTTCCCCCATATCATCAATATATGTGTGAAGCATATTATTGATGATTACCACGACGCCGACTTTTCGCTTGTGGCCGAACAATGGTCAATTGGCGATCGCGATCGCCCAGTCATCAAGGAGGAATATCTCGAAGCAGTGACAGGGAAAGCTCTCAGCAGAGCTAGGGACCTTGTGCGCACGGTTCGCGCATCGGACCAGCGACGTAATGCATTCAGGGACATCATCATCATCACAGGTAACGAGAAGGAGTGGTTCCGAAATGACCTGGGCGAGAAAGTGTGCCTCCCTGTTGTCGAACTTCTGCTTGATGAGGTCACTCGTTGGGATTTCAACTTTCATCATGGTTAACCGAATGGGAACCCTTCGCCAGGTAAGGCATTGTTCATGAAATATTTGTTGTGAACTAATAGTTGCCCAGGCAATAGATCTATACTTCAGTTCTGCCACTCAATGCTCTATCAGCAAGTTCAAGTTAAGCCCGATGGATTGGCAG